ACAGTACAGTAAAAAAAAGTAAAATGCAGAAAGCTTTTTGACCGGTGCGCTTTATTAAGATGAATTGATAACTTAAGATATAGACACAATTGTACAATTTATCAATCTGTACAAAACAAAACCGTTCATTTTGACCCGTTCTCATATTTAACGCTCCAAATTCATTGAAATGACATAATTTCTCACTTATGTGTTTACACTGAAATTACAGTCAGTTATAGAATTCAACAGTTAAAAAAAAAGAAAGAAATCAAAACACATATTTAAAAAAACAAAGAAACACACACACATACACACACAGGGAGAAATGAAGACAACAAAGGTACGTGAAACAAGAAATCATATTGTCAGAAGAAATTGCTTTGTCCACAGATTTCCTGCTGTCGAGTCTGGGGAGGCCCAGTGGACAGTGCCGTCTGTTCGATAAAACGCCATTGGCACGGCCAGCTAAAGCTCGCACATTCTGGAGTTACCCATTTACCCTCTGCTGCTAGACACATACACCAAGTTGGGGCTTTGTATATGTCTGCTAGAACCTGAAATTTCAGCTTGAAGGCTTTTAGCAGGAGCCTGCCAGTTACAGGTTAAACTGAGCTAACTCGTTAAGCGTGTCGTATTAGTTAGCCAAGCCTAACCAACCATCAAGATTTCATAAACGGTAATGACAATGTAGCTACATAAGGCGATACAATGTGGAGGTGCAGTCGTACACAAAGCCATGCATTGTGTTGAAGTCAGAGGCAGCTTGGTGTGCGTAGGCTTTATGTGACGGGGGCAACATGGCCGTCCTCCTCCTCGAGAGACACACAAAGCTTGGTTAATGAGGAGGCGGACACAACGGTGAGCTGTTAGCGAGCGTATGAGAAGCGGTCTCCACAGGTCGAGGAGGCGTTCGTGAGTTGGCCACAAGCTTAAGCCACTGATTTTTGTTGTTTGCCAGAGGAGCAATGTCACACTACATCAGGTTCGGTTCAGACTCCGCGTCGCTTTTTGGTTCTTAAACAGACCCGGCGTCCCAAACTGGCAAAAGAGGTCCAAATTGTGTATGTGCAGCAAAAGCCTAATCCTAAATAAGTAAGCATGTTTACTAGATCAGCTCGTACGCTTAAGTGCATGATTTATTAAGCAAATCAAACCTCGAAAAACATCTTCCTACTTTCTCAGTGTGTCTTAACTACAGTACTGTGGTTACATGCAAAGCAGAATTGGCTAGACAACAGGAAACTTCACATTATAAGATTACTGACTATAATAGGAATGTCATACAAGACTGCTATCAGCTACTTTACTCATACGTCTTTTTCCTTCGCTTGCTATAGAAGTCGCATTAGAGGAAAAAACCCAAACAGCCATGTGCTCGTTTCTGCATAGTGGTCAAATATGTTGGAAATTAATGCATGTTTTCTTAATGCTGAGCAAAAAAGCCTGTTAGATTTATTCTGTGTTCAGTCCCGTTCAACTTGAGCGTGAGTAACTCGGTGTGCAGCCACTTAAAATAGAACATGATGATTCAAATGCACAGGCTTCCTGTTCAGGCTTCCTAAAATGATGATAGTGTTCCACGTTTAGTCCAGTTCAAGTCAACCACCTGGCGTCACGGGTCCATCTTCGGCACGCTGTCACGAACCCGTCACCTGCTGCAAATGCAGCGACGATGCCGACAAGGTTTACCAGGCTGCGCGCCGCATGCTAGCTATACTCCCCTGGCCTTTCCACTAACTGAAGCTCAACAAATGTAAAAGAGTCCGGCGTCATATTCACAGAAATCACATCAAACAGCATGACACTACCGGAGCAAACGTCCGCAATGTGCTCGATACATCCACGTAGTTTCCAAAACAGTACATTGCACTAAAGAGGAGGTGAGGGGCGCTAAAATAACAGAGGCAAAGCTTTAAATTCAGATTTAGTAGCAGATATATGATACAAGACATTAAAAAAGGTGAGAAATCAACCGGAGCACTGAGCTTGAGAAGAAGAAAACAAATCACATTCATATATTAAGACATTTTTGTGACATGTCAGCGCATCTGCAGTAATGAAATCTAACGTGATATGAAATGCCTGCTGCTTGCTGTCCTGCAGTAGTCTAAAGACAACGGGGCTCTGCGTAGGGAGGGCCGCCCCACGTGGGTTCATCCTAAACTGGGAGAATATTTACCGGGGGAAGGGGAAGAACAGGGTTAGCAGGAGGAGGTAGGTGCAGAGATCAGGTCACGGCTTCGAAGCTGCGGCTCGTTCCCCACACGCCAAACAGTATGTCGAGGCAGTCTATTATCCGAGGGCGGGGCTTAAGGTTGACGGGGAGCGAGGGAGGAAAGGAGAGGGAGAAATGGGGGAATCGGGGGGAGAGATAGTAGCGGGTCTGAGGCTGGGCTAGATGTTCTGACAGCACTGCATCTTTGGTTTGTTCTCAGTGGGCTGCACCTGGATATTAACCACGTTGTTGCTGGGAGACATGTCGCTCTCCTGGCGCTCCGACATCTGCTTCTGGGAGACGATACGGTAAATCTCTGATGGGAGGACGAGAGAAGTAATGCGTCGAGTTAATGGATGATAGACATGTGACAAAACAAATTATTCTCATGGAAGGAGTGTCATTCCTCCATGCAGCTGACTAACAGGAAGCATGGCAGCGACATGTAAAACGACTCTTCTCATCATGTGAGTCATCACTACAACTATCACTGAAAGAGACGTTTTTAAACTTTCTTAACATCTCGTGAGTGTAGCTGAAAATCAATCAAGCTTTAAATGTTGGCTCCGCCTCTTCCAAGTACTGTCGTCCTGTGACCAGGATGTAGATCACACCTACTTTCTGGTCATCACACAGTGTTATCTAACAAATACACCTCTGTCAGTGCCCCAGGGTGGCTGTGGCTACAATGTAGCTGCCATCACCAGTGTGTGAGTGTGTGTGTGAATGTGTGTAAAGGGCTTTGGGGTCCTTAGGGACTAGTAAAGCGCTTTACAAATACAGGCCATTTACCATTTTTTCAAACACCGTGCATGCATTTTATTCCCCAGTGTCACATGTTATTAAAAACACTGTGCAAATATGTTCCTGCAGAAAAGCAGTTAGCTGCAACCTGCTGGGGAGAATTACAAGGCAAACATTAAACAGAAGGCGAAACAGTATTTAATCAGAGTATGCATTTGTGGTTGGCTTAAAGTAAACGGTGAGTGGATTCTAGCAGAGAGCACTGAGCTCGGTACTCTATGGAGAGAAAAAACCTAAAACCCAAGTATCACGTTTGTTGTTCACTTTAAGTACAATTACACATTTAAAGTATGAACACAACCAAAGAGAAATCTCCAATGGAAACTGCAGTTACTCTAATGGCCACTTGAAGCTGATGAAAAGAGAGTCAGTATCTAAATTAAAGTGCTCGACTTTTCAACAGAAATATGTTTAGAGTAGGGTTGGGCGAATATATCGACGATTGTTTTTAAACAGGCGATTTATTTATTTATCTGCCGATCAGTAAGTTTGCTAATAATGATGGCGCTAATTAGGGCTGCTCAATTAATCAAATTTTAATCTCGATTACGATCTGGGCTTTCAACGATCATTAAAAATGACTGAGGCGATTATTAGCCCCTCCCTCGTGCTTTACTCTCGCGCTGCTCCGTGTGGCAAATCGAGCGCACCTCTGCGTTTTAAACACGCGTCACAACAAAGAGGAGCCGAGGGAAGCTCTGAAAGCTCAGCAGAAGTTATTTGGAGAGGAGAGTGACTGCTGTTGGTTGAAAAGAGGTAAAAAAA